AGACTTTAGTCACAGCGCGCTTTACGTTTAGGGTTTTTTCCATTACAAGAAACAAAAATAGCAATGATAATTTGCAATATCAAGTTAGTATTTAGTGTTTCTTTCCAGGAGGAATCTTTCCACAGCACACGGTGTCGCGATGAGTGAACTTCAAGCTACGGAGTTACAAATAACACAGGTGAGTAACACTTTAAAGTTACCGTATTATCATAATTACGTTATTAGATAAGCCAAGTGTTCATTGACTAAATAATTATATCATTACTTACTCGTATTGTTTATTACACTTTAGGTGATTTTTCTGTAGTGCACTAAAGTGCTTTTTCTGTAGTGCTAACTCGTTGAAAATGCATCATGATCATAATGTTGGGCTAAAACAGTTTTCGAGAGAGGCTTTCAAAAGTGTGAAACAGACGCAGACAAAACCAAGAGCACGCGACCGAGTAAACTAGGAACAATGAACACAAGCGACCGCCGCGCATGCATGCAGCCTCGCTGCGCACCGCACGGGCGCGCGGTTTGTGTCATAGCTGCACACTAGCGTGGCGAGTTAATTAGATGAGCGGGGTAAATGCAGCGGTGCTCCAATAGTATAGAAAATTCGCTATGAATGTGAGTTATGCAAGTATTGTAGAGCCCTTGTGTCTCTAATCTAAAATTATAAATCGTTTACTAGTCGTAGAAAGTCATAAATTGAGAAGGCACTAAACTTAAGAAGCAGCGTTGGCCCCTCAGAGAGAGGAGGGAAGGACACGAGAAAAGAAACCAAGACCCTGGAACAAGAGGTCGCTTGCACGATGAGTCGGTCTGCCGCTTGATACACGGACTACGGAAGAGCAGGTAGTCTTGCCTACAGCAACAACCCAACCTTAAACAACCGGGACGAACAGTCTAATACCGCGAGCTGAGGTGGGGAGTTCAAGAACGTTTTAACCCTGTACCGCCTGACATGAGTAACCGGAGCAATATTGTCACAACATACTTCCCCTACTTCCCAAAAAGAATAGGTTCAAAATGACTTGCACAGATTGTTGCCGCCACGTACGACAATTTCAAAATGTTTTCTTTTACGTACAAACGTCCTCAGGTTGCTAGACTCAATAGTCTACGCATAATTTAAGTTGAAAGTTATGTTCCCGGAGAGCGACATACGGCGGTAGAGGGTTAAGTGCCGCAACCTCATAGAACTGACATCAATAAGCTTAGGTTACAAAACTTAAGAAATAGTAACTTTTGGAACGCTTCTCTGATAACAATTGTAAACCTATTGCTTAGAAACAATGCATGTGTGATTTGGGAAGTAATAAAGAAATACATACCGTATATTAATCAAGTGTTTATTACTTACGAATAAATATTTTCAAAACATGAGAGATCGTTGAATGAATTATAATTAGCGGCGCAGGAGCACCGGTGCTCTAGCGCGTCTTCTTCAACCCGATCGGCATCTCAGAAACAAGTTGCAGTATATACTACCACACGTTCTGTAATATGCAGTCTATACCACACGTCCTGTAATATGCAGTATATACTACCACACGTTCTGTAATATGCAGTATATACCACACGTTCTGTAATATGCAGTCTATACCACACGTCCTGTAATATGCAGTATATACTACCACACGTTCTGTAATATGCAGTATATACCATGCGATCTGTCGAAAACGTCCTACCATTGGATCTAAGAGAGGGGGAGTTTACCCTGGAGACCTTCAAGAGACAACTGGACGTGTTCCTTGGCACAATCCCAGATCGACCTCCCCTGCAACACTACCAGCGGCGAGAAGCAAGCAACAGCATCGTGCATCAGGTGGCCCAAATGAGGGCTGAAGCTCGATAATCAGGGGCGGCGATCCATCGTGGCCTGGGACTGCTACGTCCCAAATAAATCCTAATTAAGGATCAAAGGACAGAATCTACTTTTACGAAGATACACGTTTGCGAGCGCTTGCACGTATGTCTTCCAAAAATCTCAGAACAAATTTCACACTTGACATTCATTGAATTCACTCCCACAATCATATTCGAACTTAGGGGATTTAGTAAAATGTGCCTTGGGCAGAAATATGACGAGCGAGTCCTTTCGCCTACATTTTGCAATCGATGAAATAATCGATAAAACTTAAGTAACTTATGTTCGGTTTGACGTAAATCGCTGCTCTGGGCCTTTATTTTCGCGGAACGTAGAGTGGGCGATGAGATCTTTGTGAGTTTTCAAGTGAACGTTGAGGTTTGACTTTTGGCTGGTCCTCGGTTTGACGTAAATCACTGCTCTGGGCCTTTATTTTCGCGGAACGTAGAGTGGGCGATGAGATCTTTGTGAGTTTTCAAGTGAACGTTGAGGTTCGACTTTTGGCTGGTCCTATAGGCGCAGATGAAGCAGGGGAAGGGCTTCTCGCCGGAGTGGACCCGGTAGTGTATCCTGAAGACGGTTTTGTCCCGACACCAGAGCTCACACAGCGGGCATTGATACCCCGTACCCTGCTTCAGACTCAAGAAGTCCAGGAGGTCGAATGACAGCACGTCTGATGAACTCGAAAACTTACCCGGGGTCTTCGAATTATTTGCCTCAAGTTCATGCTTATCAGACTTTCTTGCGGTTTCTGGCGTACAGAAGTTGGGCATGGCCAATATGTCGGGAGCAGAAGCATATTCCATGGGAGTAGTCAAGTGTGAGACGCTAGGGAGCTGAGCGGTGTCGCTACTTCTTGCCGTCTGCGGTAAGAACATGGACAGTCTGTTACTTCTTAACCTCCGCACTTATACTCTCTTCGTACCACATGTATTCAGCAAATATAAACGTATTACCAAAAAAAAACAGATTTATCTCAACTCATGAATAACGCTTATGGAAAACGTGGTCATGGATTGACTGCAGCATACCCTTCGAAACAGCTTTATTCAAATGTCATTTTTGTAAATATTTTCATACGAAGAAGTAAAGAACGTAAATTAGATATCTAATCATGTATCGTACTGGAAAGCGAAGCTCATTCAACATGCATCACTCGAGAAAATGACATTAACGAAACAATAGCAAATAAATTAAAATAGTGCATATAGAAATGAGTGAACACTTTACTCCGATATCTCCCGACCCACAAAGAGAACGATCGCGTTTCCCACCAGCAGCCGGTCAAGCTTATTCCACGTCTCCGTTAAAGCGATGCATTACTGCAGAACAAATCTGCATAACCTTCACTGAAAACAAATCGGGCGAGTTTCACCTTCACCATCTTGCCATGGTGATTGTATCGCATAAATGCAAAGACGACCTAAAGCAAGGGCTGCACTCATAGCTAATATTGCGAATTATACAGCGATTGGGCGCTATCGATAATCCAAGAAGCAGCAGAACGCCTTCGACAGGCATGGCAAAGCTACGAACCAAGCACAGAACGTCTTTGTTATCCTTGGTATTAGTTTCGGACGTAGCAGTCCCAGGCCACGATGGATCGCCGTGTCCGAACAGAAATATGGCCGGGCCCAGTATGCGTCGACATTAGTATGAGCCTGGGTAACTTCTTAAACATCTTTCAAAACAGTCATTAAACATTGAGGGTACACTGTTATGCGCCATCATTAGAAATACGAACAAGGCAATCGGCCACGCTAATTGAGGGAAGAACAAGCGTTTTGTCTAGCAATCCTGCCAGCGGCTGGTGCCAAAACCCTGGGCGAAACCAGCGATTAAAGTTACTGCTAATGATAGAGTAAAGTTTGAGTTGTTGTAAGAGTGACGATGAGCATCTGGAGTCAATGCAGACATCGCAATTTGATATAGCGTTAACAGAAATGTGCAATAACTTCAATTAATATGGCGACTACAAATATTTCATAGGTGCATAACAAACCGTCGTGACGGAAATAATACAAAATATTACAGGACTTCTGCCTCCATTGCAAACACTGCAGTTCAAGCCGAGCCATCTTTTGCAAGATGGCGGCGCGACATATCTCTATTTAACGATTGGTGGTGGTAACATTTAGCTTGAATATGTATGTCATTACCATCCAATAACCCTGTAATTTGAATCGCTACAAGCACACTCCTAAATGAAATAATAAACAAAACTTTTAAATACGTGTCCCGAATAACCGACGCATAATTATAATCGAACATCCATTTGCGAGGAGTTTATGGTAAGAAAAACTCGGTAGTTTCCGTTATATTGTCTTGAAGAATCTCCGGAAGAGGATGAGGCTCAGCACCAGGCTGACAGCGATTCATCTTATACACCTCATAAAGACGTAGAAACTACGTAAGCTGCACGCCATGTTTCCTTAGCAGATGTGCACGCACGCTTGTCTTTCTCCATGACCGATAAGGACAACATGGACAACCGTGGGGTCGGGTCTCTCTGTGTATCTTGTAGTGTCGCTTGAAGTGATGCAAGTGTTTGATGTGTGTCAGACACACTGGACACTTGTACACTCCTTCAGTTAGTTCCAGCGACGGCAGGTCGAGTGCTTCGAGTAGGAACAATCCCCCTAGGAGCGCGAAATCCCATAGACTTCTGACGAGCACAGACACCCGTCAGAAGTCCCCCCTGAGGGGGAAATTTGCAATAACATCAATTAATATGGCGACTACAAATATTCCATAGGTACATAACTAACCGTCGTGACGGAAATAATACAAAATATTACAGCACTTCTGCCTCCATTGCAAACACAGTTCAAGCCGAGCCATCTTTTGCAAGATGGCGGCGCGACATATGGACGCGGAGGTCGCTGGACTGGATGGTGCGGTAGTGGCAGTGGGGGCAGGCGTAGGGCTTCTCCCTTGAGTGGATCATATAATGACGCCGGAACGAATATTTCTCGGTGAGAATTTTCCGGCACACCGGACATTGGTAAAACTTTTCGTTGGTAACGTGCTGCTCGAGGTTCAACTCTTCAAACCGAGGCAGCGGTCTCGACGAGTCGTCGAACACAATAATGGAGTCCTTTTGGTTCCAAAAATCAATCGCCGAGTCTCGCGTCAAGTTCGAGTAGAGAAGAGTTCGCGCAGTCGTCGACGATCTTGGCGCCCCACGAGAGAGCCGTGATGGCTCTTCCTGCACCTAGTGCAACAAAAATTCTGTAAATCTACTAGCTTCGCAGTATCACTTTCAATATTGTTGCAAATTAAACTTTTCTGATGGGAACAAAAATGTTCGAATTTAAAATAATTATGCGTGTACGGATTTCTCACACCAACTTCCTGATCCCGAAGAACATAAATTCGATCAATAAAGAAAATTCATTTTAATAATTAGTAATAATGTATCTTGAAGCATTCTCTAGTTCACTATTTACTCGCATAATGAGCCGCTAAATCCATTTACAAAAAACAGCGCGCGTTTCCCTACAAAACATGACAAGTTACCCCATATCCTCTCGTGCTATTGGCAGGAAATCATTACACACTCACAATATCATGATGCTACGTAATTAAAACAGGAAAACGTAATCAACCAACCAGTAATACGCCTTATGTAATACTACATCAATACACCCTACGAAATTCTAAATTAACATGCATAAGGTGATACTAAACGAGCGCCCGGCGCAGTGAGCCCTCGCTGGGTAGGCTAATACGACATTCATCAGTGAGTAGGTTGTCGTATCATCACTCACAAATGAGATACGATTGTTGTGATATATCAATGTTTTAGCATTAATATTAAAGACCTTTTTTATATTTGTCATGCCGAAATCGCAGATATGACGATTCTAAGCAATCAGCAGCCAGTTTGTCCATTCTGTAGAATCAGCGTTTCGTTGCCGATTCCGTGGAATAGTCAACGATTTGCTGAAAATGTGGAACTCGTGTCGACCAGTGCTGATTCCGTGGAATCGGCAGCCGATTCCACGGAGCCGGCAAGCTATGTTATTACTGTATTTCGGCCTTAGTTATAAATTTCTGCTATTTTTATTTTTTGGAGATGATAGTCAGAATAGAACAAACAATGTCGAGCGAATTCGCTTTAGATTTAATAACCAGAGAAATCAGTACACACAAACGAATCGCAGTACAGTCATGAATCCTAAAAGACGAGTTCTTTTTGTAATTTTTTGTTCCTACATTTGCCATTCCTAGGATGGCAATGGGAGTGGCACAACGCGCCGCTCTTCCTGCACGCACAGCGCCCAGAATCTCACTTTGTTGTGCAAGAACACTTGCAAATCCTTATCCCTCAGTGGCAGACTGAAGGGATGCAATATAGCGAAATGGCTGCATAATGTTGCTCGTTTCTGATAGGCTGATCAGCTGACTATCTGCCTTCTCTAGCTGATATCTGGAGCAAGCTGCCTCGATCATTTCATGTTTTGTTGAAACTTTGTACCATACGCTGGTAGTAATGTCGTAAACTACACCAGGAATATTTCTACAGTCTAGTCGTCCACGATCGAATTTGGAAGCCAGGAATAAGACGCAGTCTCCCACAGCAAGAGGATGCTGGATAGCGTTGCTCGCTTCAAGTATTTTTTTTTCCTGCTCTTTGCTTGCCCGCTCGCAGCCTTGTCACGGCACGCCCTTTTCGTCTTGATGTGCTTTGAGAAAGCATCTGATATTCCTATTGCTCTTTCTTCAGTTTCATCAGCCTGATCTTGTTCCCCGGCAGCGACATCTTCTTCCTCAGAAACTTCAGCTTGTTCCTCAGCAGCCTCCATTTCATGGATCTCCCTGAGAGTCGCCTGCCTTAAGTTGTTCCTCTGTTATGTGTGCGAGAACGCCTGCAGGTAAGACCGTTTCCTACAATCCTAGTCTTGGTTTCTGTGCGAACAAAATCTCAAACGGGGACGTGTTCTGCAGGTGTCTGTGCGGCGAGCTGTTCCTCTGGCACTACGCGAATTGTAGGCCATCTGTCCACGTGGTATGGTTTCGGCAAGGGCTTCTTTCTCTGACATGCCTCGCATGCAGCCAAAAAGAGGGTCACTATCTTCATTGGTACGTTTGCGTATTTGGCATCAAGAAATCTTTTGGTTTTCCTTTCACCGCCGTGACCAGTCGACACGTGAGCTTCGTAGATTATGTCGAAGAGCTCGTCCCGAACGGCAAGGTATTGAAGTGGATCAGCTTCATTTTTTCGCCTCTGAAACAATAAAAAGTTAACAGAGATAATGAAACTGATTTTGTTCAGGATGATGGTGTTGTTGCTGTTGTCCCGTGTGCGTTTGTGTGTGCTTCGGTGGTAAGGTTAGGTTAGGCTAGGTTGTTGTGTGAAACACGTTCACGACGACGCCAATGTTAATATTTCACTTGAAAATCTTGTTTTTGATGATGATGACAACGACAACAGCGATCGATGACTAAAATTTGTGAGCGAACAAGAGAAAGAAATAGGCTCACCTTGACGATTTTCATGACACCGCCAACTTGGACGACAGCAAATTTCTCCCGAAGATAGTAGAAGGATTTGGATCTTTCACTGCCACACAAGGTTGCAAGCATTGAGCCGTATTCTTCTCGACTAGGCACTTTGTATCTAGAAAGCTTTTCGAAGGCCACTTTTTCTTGAAATCGAGCCCGATGGTTTGCTGCATCCGCTTCCATAATGCTGTCTTCGCGGGCACTGATCTAAAATGTACAATCACAAGCAATCAACAGCTCCAATAGTCGGTTATGCGAGAACATTTATAACTGATAAAAAGGCCGAAATACAGTAAAAACATAGCTTGCCAATCCCACGGAATATGCTACTGAATCCAAGGAATCAGCAGTGGTCGAAACGAGTTCCACATTTTCAGCAAATCGTTGCCTACTCCGCGGAATCAGCAACGAAATGCTGATTCTACAGAAACGGCAAACTGGCTGCTGATTTCATAGAGTCAGCAATTCTGCGATTTCAGCACGACATATTCCAGTTCTTGATGTGAAATCGGACAGCGTTAACATAGAAGTCGTATACTTTTCAAAGCAATAGTAATAACGAATGAAATTTTGGCACACTGATATTAAAATTAGCGACCTAATTCCTTTTCTTCAAAAAGATATTATCTGCCAGTCCCTATGCGTATCACAGTCTGATGAATTATTATGTGGAGGCTGATGCCTCATCATGTGAAGGCTGTTAAAGCGCTACGTTCAGCACCACTTCTGAGCCGACTTACAGGGTCCTTCAAAAAAAGTATCTGATTTCAATAGGCTTTTGCAAAACTCATACGACACATACAGAACAATTAATTTTATTTGTGAATAGCTTATTTGATGCCATTTTATATCACTTAGTACACTTTACTTGGTTTTGAAAATTATGTTTAATAAATGATGTCCCCCATTGTTAAGACATTCACGCTTTCCCTGAATTGCCCATAGCTCTTGGCAATGGCTGCCACTTCCTGCTTAATGGCATGTTTTAGTTCTTGCAGATTTCTGGGACGATATTTGTACACTTCAGCCTTTAGGTAGCCCCACAGAAAGACTCACACTGCTCGCCGGTCCATGGAAATGTTAAGAGAGTTGTTTTCTGGACGTCTTGTGTCTTTAAGAGGAGACATTTCCTAGCCCCCACGGTCACCCGACTTATCACCTTGCGATCTCTTTCTGTGGGGCTACCTAAAGGCTGAAGTGTACAAATATCGTCCCAGAAATCTGCAAGAACTAAAACATGCCATTAAGCAGGAAGTGGCAGCCATTGCCAAGAGCTATGGGCAATTCAGGGAAAGCGTGAATGTCTTAACAATGGGGGACATCATTTATTAAACATAATTTTCAAAACCAAGTAAAGTGTACTAAGTGATATAAAATGGCATCAAATAAGCTATTCACAAATAAAATTAATTGTTCTGTATGTGTCGTATGAGTTTTGCAAAAGCCTATTGAAATCAGATACTTTTTTGGTCCATGGAAATGTTAAGAGAGTTGTTTTCTGGACGTCTTGTGTCTTTAAGAGGAGACATTTCCTAGCCCCCACGGTCACCCGACTTATCACCTTGCGATCTCTTTCTGTGGGGCTACCTAAAGGCTGAAGTGTACAAATATCGTCCCAGAAATCTGCAAGAACTAAAACATGCCATTAGGCAGGAAGTGGCAGCCATTCCAAGGGAAGTTACACGAAGAGCTATGGGCAACTTCAGGGAAAGACTTCGTGAATGTCTTAATAATGGGGGACATCATTTATTAAACATAATTTTCAAAACCAAGTAAAGTGTACTAAGTGATATAAAATGGCATCAAATAAGCTATTCACAAATAAAATTAATTGTTCTGTATGTGTCGTATGAGTTTTGCAAAAGCCTATTGAAATCAGATACTTTTTTTGAAGGACCCTGTATAAGACACAGTTTTCCCATGCGAGCTCGATTATTCGCTATTTGTGAGTCAGCTAAGATGCCGAACCGCCAGTAATTTGGAGAGAATAGATTATTAGTTAGTTTTTTTTCGGCAATTTATTTCTTATGTGAATAAATGTTTATGATAGAGATTTGTTTTCCAAAAGATGTTTTTTGTATCGATTCCAGAAACCAGTTAATAAGCACCTCAAGACCGCGTATCCTTTTACTGTCCTAAAGGATCTCCATAAAAATTCTTTACTGACTGACTTGAATTACTCTATAAGCTCACAGGGAGTCCCTCCCGCTCAGGGTTGACATACTCCTACGGTCGCTACTGCCCGGTAAATAGTCGTTTTTTTTCTCTTATATTAGAAAAATATTAAGCAATTATGTCTACCAGCTTACTGGCTCTAGCCGACCGCCTGCCAGACAGCGGCCGCCCAGCACCGCTACTAGCGGGGCGACAATAAGAGTTATGATAACAAGACGAGGCCGGATGGCGACCGAGATCCGATCTTAGCTCGCATTTTTGACAATAATGATCCTTACGTCCTTCGTAGCGAGGTGAAGACAAATAATTACTCACGGATCATCAATTATTATCGTGAAACAAACATGTGGTTTTGGATAATGTGAAGAAAGAACAGATGCAAAGTTACGTGGAGACTTGTTGGGCACGGCGAACTCCAGTACTAAAATTCGAACTTTCAAAAGAGAATTTTCTTCTCCACTGGCCTCAGGGCCAAGTTACGTGTAAGAATAAAATTTAAATTCCCAATGTCAGTTCGGTAGTATAAGGAAATATCTTCAGCCAACTTATAGAAAAATGGACTATTTTGAAGCACCGCATCGAAGCAACCCACACAAATCTCGTTGCGTACGAGGTTACAATCAATGTAATCAGTCATGAACGAGGTGCATGTTGCAAGTCTTGTTTGCAACGTAATTGGATGTCCCCACAATACAGGTTAGCTAGCGCGTCGCAGGACGATAGCTGTATAACATTCCTGGTTCAGGAACTGACCAGCATGTGCTTTAATTGAGCTACTTCCTCGTATAATGAAAACAATACCAATACATGAATATACAGTGGGGGGAAATAAATATTCGCACACTTGAAAAATCGTATTTTAATGTATGTAAGTACACAAACTTAACAGGAAAAGTGATTTAAATTATGTATATGCATTGAGATTTAATTTCTTTTGATAGTATTTTTGAATACTATGCGTCTCTATACATAATTTAAATCACTTTTCCTGTTAAGTTTGTGTACTTACATACATTAAAATACGATTTTTCAAGTGTACGAATATTTATTTCCCCCCACTGTATACCAATGCTATACAGGCATTTCAGACTCAAGTCCAGGAACAACTAACGGCCGATTGCCCCGTCACTGGTCACTGAGTAATATTGACGCACAGAAGACACAAAAGAAATACAGAACCTCAAATACAGAAAAGAAGGATATTTTATGAATTGTGTACATTAAATAATGTTCAACAGGGACCAAGGTTGAAGAAATAATTCATAGATTTGCAAAAAAAAAAGAAATGCAGAATAAAGCAGCTCGTTACCAAAATCAACTCTTCCTCACATACCACCCCAAGGACCGAGAGAGCGCGCACCGAATGAAACCAACACCGTAAATGAAAGCTTATAGCTCAGGGAGATCTTGTGGGCAGGGTGGCCCAGTGGTTAGGGCAGGGGGGCCCAGTGGTTAAAGTTCAGAGTACCAAAATTGGCGCAGAGAGGCGCGGGTTAGATCCCAGCTCTGTGCGCCAGTTTCTGGTCAGGCCGGGAGGCAATGAGGCCGGGCGGTTAAGCACAGCAGAATTGTAGCAGTGAGTTGCGAGTTCGAGACCGCAAAATGCTGTGAATGTTCTGCGATGTTAAGAATCGGCGACAGGCCTACGGCCTAATAATATACGGCTGTCGCCGTAGGCGACAGGCCTACGGCGACAGCCTAATTTCGCTGAAACCACTATTATTATTATTATTATTTGTGCAGGTCGTGAGTGGCAAGCAGAATTGTCAGCACATGCAAGCAGCAACAGAGCTGTTGTGTGCCCGTCACGAAATAGTGCGGCAACAAGCAAGGGTGGATGAGACTGTGAGACGTGAGGGAGATGTGAGATGTGATAGCATGATGCGGCGATGCGAGAAGTCTATATCATTATTATTTTATTTCACAGTTTTAGAACAAATTTTTGACTTCAGAAAAAACTACTCAAGCTAGAGAGATAACAATCGACAAGTATATATATATAATGCTCACAAAACACTGTTGATCACTAGCTTGGGCACCTGAAAATGGACAATAAATTGAACAATATCCTCTCATCAAGTAAATCCATCATCATGTTTTCCATACGGTAGCAAGACGCCCTATCAGAAGTCACTAGATAACACACTCATTTATCAAGAAGCCTTCAGTGAGCTAAATAGGAAATCAGAAAGTAAGATACTCAACAGATACACAAGGAAAAAATATAGGAGAAAGTAAATTAGCAAATACTGACCAATTAGATATTCACATCAAATAGTAGGGGATTTTTATTAGGGTAACAATTATAAAATTAATCAAATAAACATTTTTGACAAATTAATTCAAAACCTGGCTACTCGTGGCACCTTCTGGTGGCCGTAGAGTTTAAAAATTATCTGATTGGTCATTTTTGCAGCCAATAAAACAATCAGTTAACTTACCAGCTGTTGCTGCTGCTGAGTGCAGAGGTAGCTTGATGGCAGCGCCGGCTCCTGGCCTTCTCTGTGACCATCATCAGCCTGTACAAGGGACTCCACTTATATCAATAGGCAAAACAATAATCATAACAGAAGTTTATTGGTACAAGTTCATTTTGAGAATTTTGAAAATATTAGGTACCTTTATTTAGTAATTTTTTAGAAGTCAACAAAATTGGTAGGTACGTAGTCAATAGAAAAAATGTGAGAAAATTTTAGAATTTCAAATAAAAATTTGGTATCAGACTGCAGCATTGTTTGGAAAATGCGTTCGTTTTGCACATCTGTTACGAACTGATATGATATATTCAGCTCAGAGCAAATGCCAACAGAATATATTCTGCAATTGGCAGAAGATAGATTTTCAAACAATGTTTTGCTCTTTTTGACTTTTGCATTGTTATTTGTACATAGATAACTTATTAGACATGCGCCCACAGTAGCCAGCAGTTAAAGTTTATGTAAAAATAAGAGAAGAAGCATGAGAATAATTCATCAGGTCAAGAAGGATATCATTGCCAAGTATAAAAAGATCACACCAATGCCTATACAGTATCCCAAGTGGAAATTAATAAAACAGGCTCTTCTTAAAAAAAAACCTACATCATAAAAACTTCTTAGGAAGTAGCAGAGTAATGCTGACAAGGAAGCAATGCTGCATAGATTATGGAGGAGATGGAGAAGCATAGTCAGCAAGTCAAAGTGATAGTGGAGCATTTTTTAAGAAAGCGCAACAAATAAATACCTACATGGGTTTAGGGTCCCTAATAAATTAATCCAGTTTAACTCACCACACTCCCAGTAGTGTTGGTGGTGAAGGAGCAAGTTAAGATAAACTCCTGCTCATCTTGTATTCCAATAATAAAAAGAAAAAGAAAATACTGCATTGATACAACTAATGCAGTTAAAGAAGAAGCGTTACTCCCAAAAAAGTCTTCCACAACAGAGATACCTTTACCTGTATATTGTTCACTTACTGAACATAAATTATTAGTAAGAAAGTCTTACTTGGTGCTGGCCTAGCAATTCATTCATGAATTCTTGATTGTCATCAGCTTGCTGCAAGTGTTTCCTGTCTTGCAAGATGTCGTGGATGTCAGTAGCGGAGTTGGAGTCTGTGAGGTAAACTGCATCCAGCTCCAGAGGTTCCTGCTTCACAGCTTCACCTATGTCATTCTGCTCACAGAAAGATTTCATTAGCTTTTTGCCATTTCAGTGAATTAAATAATAGGAATATTTGTAAGAGCATTGAACAACAACATCTAGCCCTCAAAACTTTTACACTGTAAGGAGAAAATATACCATTCCACCTAGTTAATATAAGCTGTCAAATTCATTCAAAATTTGAAATTTATAACAGAGTTTTTAGAGAAGTTAAAGCGGAAGTAAAGAAGTTAAAGTTCTCTACCAAAAATTTATAAAAAAAATTGACACCTTCATTTTGCATATCTTAAGTAAGAACTCCCATTTCCCATTTTCCCCCATTTCCGGGCCGTCGATCCCCGTCAGGGACTTGCCCTCCCCAGGGTCCCACACCAGGCACGCCCTCTGGTGCCTCGCCATATTGGCGACCGACAGCACCCTGTTGCACCCCGGGCACTGAGCAACCCTCCCCCTCCTGGCTCTCACCGGCTCCTCCCCCCCTCCCTCCACAACCCCTATTGCACCTCCCGCACTGTCTCCTGTCTCCCACTCCACTCGCTCCACCCATACACGTCCTCTCATGATTCACTCTCGCACCCTCCGTCTCAACACTCATGCCACATATGCTACATACAAACCTCACTCGCTCCGCAGCTACTCTATGCATGCGCTTCTGGTGGTTGGTCAGGCCCGCCTTACTTCGGCAGACGTTCCCACACCCCTCATTTCTACACACCCAGTCATTCATTCTCCTAACATTCCTGTTCAGTCTCGCCACATTTGCCTCCCAAACGTACTCATGCCCTCTCTGACATTCCCACTCATACAAATGCTCCATGCGCTCTTTCACCATGCTGGAGAAAAACTCACCAATTCTTTGGGTGCATCATCATCAGCTTCTTGAATCTCTTCATTCTTGAGCTCAATCTCATCATCTGATAGTTGTGCATTAGAGTCTGACTTTGAGGTATCATGTGAAATGTCTGGAGGTTGACTTGGCTCTTTATCACTGCTATCGCCAGATGGTAGGATACTACCTTTACTGACTACTACAAGATCATTATTCCTGGTACATTTATTGCTAGATGATGGGCTTGTTTTATCCCTTCCTGACTCTTCCTGGGTGCTTGTTTTCCTCTTGCTTGACTCTTCTTCACTTGAGCTGGAATGTTTCTGAGATGAGGCACAATCATCCTGCCTTCTCCTCTTGGCTTCACTACTTACAATATTATCGTTAGTTCTCTTTTCTCGGAACACTCCTGTTGATTTGGCTTCAGCAGGTTCTTCATCAGGCACGGCCAAACCTTTAATCTTCAAACACTCGGCAGCTTTGATCAGACCAGATAGCTTCTCCTGTACAACATTCACTTCACCAACATACATGTAACTGAGAAGCGATTCAAGATCTTCATTCTGGATGTCTTTCAAAACTATCACTGGATGCTTGCAATGAGTTTGTTCAAGCATCTGTTCAAAATATTCGCTGCATGTTGACAAAATGAGTTTGTGAACAGGATAGAACTTTCCATCACAAGCCAGAGTTACATCCGTGTAGCATTCCTGGAGAAAAGGATCCCAATCAGAATTTCAATAATCTTAAACCAAAGACTTCAACATAAAACATTCATAAAAGTAGTTCCAGAGTATTAACAAAATATGCTAAAAATTTACCTACATGACAAATTTAAAAATGAGGAAAAATGAGCAAATGCTATCAAGCCATTAGTTTTTAATGTAAATTTTTCATTTAAAACACCATACCGTAAAATGGGGTAACATTGACCACTTTTTTTCAAAATGATGCCATTTTCTTACTAGATAAGTTAAACTTAAATTGAAACATGCAAAATACAGGTCTATACTCTAGCTTTACTTACCATAAATTGATGGCTCCTGCCTCTCATAGTTTTGATGTAATTTCAAAAAAAGTGATGGTCTTTGTTACCCCGGCTCATGGGGTTTTTTTGACCGGGTGGTAAAATCAATTTTATTTTTTTTTTTGTAAAATAACTCCAAATAACTCCAGGTTGTGGTGCATTGTAGTAAAACTCTTCTAGTTACATATGCAAAAGACAAATTTTAGGAAAGTGTCATAGTTTGCAAATGGGGGGCGCTGCCCCCCAATGGGCAAAATGTGACCACCTAATGGCAGCCGTGACACGGCTGGGGGTTTTTGTTAAAAAAACAAAAAGTGGTCAAAGTTACCCCGCCGGTCAAAGTAACCCATTTTATGGTACTGGGAACTAATGTAAAAAAAAAAATAAAAAACTTTTAAAAACCATGTTTTCTTAACGGACAATAAAGAAAAACACTTACTCTTGAATAACATTAAAGTTATGTAAAATGTTATGCAATGTTATACAAGAGTAAATGTTTTTTTATTTGTTTTATTTCATCATTTTTAGTGTTGTAAAAACCAGAAACACATGGTTTTTAAAAATGCTTTTTATATTTATTTATTTTCTACTTTTTAGTTTAGCAATTTTACCATTCAAATCAATTTCTAGGGTTGGCAAGTCTGGATGTTTGACAAAAACCTCAATTCCCAACCATGATATTTCAATTTTTTTCACTTTTTTATTTTTTCTAAAAAAATTTTTTTTTAATCTTTACTTCTGATGATCAAATCTTGAATTGTTAGGCAGCATAAGCATGCATGCCAAATTTCAATTTTCTAGGATGTTCAGAAGAGCTCTAAATTAAGGTCTGAATTTTTGTTGACAGACAGACAGACAGACACGAAACAAAGCTAAGAAAAACGTGGTTATAAACAGGGTTTGTACTGGTATTAAGAAAAAAATTCCATGACTTTTCCATAACTCTCCATGACCAATATAATTTTCCAAAACTTGTACCATCAACCGGGGCTACTCAGGACGATTTCGAACATTTTTCATTCATAACTTTTTACCATGAAACATTTCATAAACAAGTTTAGGCTCATTTTAAAGCTCTTTGCAAGGGCTATCACATGGTTCCTCCAAAAAATTCCATATGCTATTCGTAAGGTGCCAGAAGCAAAAAAAGAGTCTCCCGAGTAGCCCCGTCAAACGGGGCTACTCGGGACACTTGCAATAAAACTTCATTTTAAAACATTTGAAGCATGCAGAGTGTACTCATCCATTACTAACAGTACTCTGAAGTCCTCCTCTTTCATTGTAGATGATGTAGAGGTAGAATAAATGATATTTTCTGTGATTTTTACTTGTTTTTCCTTTATTGATATGATATTACCATAAACTTTAATTCCCGTCAACTGGGGTGACTTTGGCCACATTTTTTATTTTGTTTTGAAAACAAAAACGGTGTGGTAAACGCCAGGGTTGTAAACAAGGTCATAAACGCCGGAGTGACTTTGGCCATCGTTTATGACCCCGCTTTTGTTTGCAAAACAAATAAAAAACACGGCCAAAGTCACCTGGCGGCCGAAGTCACCCCAGTTGATGGTACCGTATTATTGATGCGATGTTACTGTATTATTGATGCAATATTACCATATTCATGAACATGCCATTGAGCATTTACAACAACCTTGTCCACTGCAAGCTTCATATAAGCAGCCTTATAGCATTTTTTCTGTATCTGTAAGCTTACAGTACGGCTTGTAATTTCACACCATTTTAATAGGGTTAAGTTAATTTACTATAAAAAAAAATTGTGAAAAACATACCTGAAACAGAAAGGAATGTTTTAGTGACAACCATCATATGTTTTGGAGAAATAAATCATAGTTCAGGTCAATTACTTTTCATTCTATGATGCCTGGTGCACAATTCTATACCTATATGACATTCTATGCACAATTTTGTAATGACCGATGATGCACTAATTTTTCGATGAGTGAAATTTTTTTTGCTGAGCAAGGTAAATGTAATCAATATTCTTTGTTTTTAATAAATTTTTTTCTTAACTGGAGCCTTTGCTAACTGAGGTTCTACTGTAAATGCGTTTTTGGGGGTATCCCAAATAGCCCCGGGGGGGTGTCCCGAGTAGCCCTGCAGTGCAGAAATGGCCACCATTTTTTTGGGATTGAGGTATGTAAATTCTGCAAATAAAGTTTTCATGCTGACACTTGTCTGCCACTTTTTTCAAAGCCAAATTTTTTAATACAGCAAATATTTTTTTTACTACAGACCTTAACAGAAGTAACTTTTCAAAATATCGTTTTTCACCATTTTTTTCAGGAATTTTTCAAAGCTAGTAAATGTAGTATTTTTTTACTTCCTTTATACTACATAGATAGGAAAAATGTTGACGTTTACGCCACTATATTTAGTTTTGCAATATTCCAATTAGTTTTGCTACTAAAATAGTTTTACACTGTGTCGGAGGACTGTCCCGAGTTACCCTGCCCATCCTGAGTAGCCCCGGTTGACCGTATATTGTAATCAATATATAACAAATAGTCAAATAGTTGTAGACTGCTTATAGCCTTATAAGAATTAGCTAAACTTCTAGCTATATATATATATTTACACTGTATTGCAACACTTGATGCCTTTGTACCAAAAACATGCAATTCATTGGAACCTAATATACATTAAAGGCAACAAGTTTATATTCCAATTTGTCATAGTACATTTATACTAAACCATGAATAACAATACCTCAAAATAAATTAAAGACTGCCACTCAATATATTTAAATGTATAAAAAATAAAAAATAATAAATAAAATAAAATAAATCATGATTTTTTTTTATAAAAAATCAAATGATTTAATCACATTACTTAATCAGTTTAATTTAATCATTTCCAACCCTGATTTAAAACTAGAAACAAAACAATTACAATTATAAGACTATATATAAAATAATTAAATGCAGTGAATGGATATAAAATATTTGAATTGTGCACATGTTTATTTCAAACAGTGTTAGCTTTTCTCATAACTTAAGTCTCATTTCAAGTCATTTGAGGTTTGTTTGGTTATCATTTAGTTTATGTTTAGTAGGTATAGGTTTATTGGTCTGACATAAATGGGAACTGTGCACTCAGTCACTACGTCGGTGTGTATAGAGGGTAGAGTCTGGTAGATTTATAGACATAAAACTAGTGGTATTGATAGTGTTGTGCACCATGCTATCAGCTACCTCTCTGAGTATCTGTTGTGTGACTCTTCAATGTTTAGAAGATCTGCATTCCTGAAGTGTTTTTGTATATTGAAGCCAGTAAAATAGTTAATATTTAGCTCGTGACCTTGCTACATATAAACTTTACAAAGCTAATTAATAGACTAATCAATAATTATTTACCCAAAAATCCCAAAGTGGTGAACACCACCAGTGTGGAATTCCAGAGGGGTAATATATTAACTGGTAAACATAGCAAATCGGAAAGCAGGACCCAAAAATCTGGAACGTCCAGCACACTTCCACTTTCAGTCCATCATCATCACTGATGAGTCTCTGCAAGATGCCACAGCTGTTTCATTGAAAAAAACAGCGCTTGCATCATAACAGTAACAAGAATCCAATCAATGCTTGAACGCGTCCAACGTAACAGTCACAAGAATCCAATCAACGCTTGAACACGTCCAATGTACTGTCACAGGGATCCAATCATCGCTAGAACGTGTGCAACGTCACAGCCACTGGAATCCAATCAGCGATAGAAAGCTAGAAGGGACCGCCTCAAATGCACACCATGTTAACGCACTGATGCTAACTTAATGCGTAACGCTACAATTCTTGTTTCAAGAGCGTAGTAATACAATAGTGTAGTTATGTCATTATTGATGGAAATCGCAAAGAATAACATTTTCGCTATGTACACTCACTCACAAATACATGAAAAACTGCCTATGATTCAATCGACAAATACAAAACTGACCACTGATGCAATAAGCTGAGACATGGAAACTCCTACTGTTACAATCAGGATTACCAACTCAACGAAAAACATAAACAAAGAAGGTAGCAGGCCGCAGGGACACCAACCATCAATATACTCATTTGAAAAAAATGATAGATACGAATTCTTCTATATTACAAATTTATCAGTAACTGGCATTCAACAGAATGGTTTAATAACCTTTGTAAATCGTAAATGTTATACATGCAGAATCAATCGTGTGCAACAGCCAAAGTGGCGGGAACGATGGTTAGTGTTTACTGTTTCCTTGTTAGTTCTCATTAAGCAATCGGTGTGTGAGGTAACTGAATTAACTGCAGATAAAGCTCCCAAACTTGGAGACAATAATTGAGTGAAAACTTTACGTGATATATTGTGAGCCTGCTCAAGTTTAATAATGAAGAAATCACAAGGTTCACAGAATCTAAAGGTTTGAATGCTAAATTTTTGACTTTCGAGTACTCTATTGACTATTGAGTCTATTCTAGTCAGTCAACTGTGAAGTGTCATGTTGTTTGTTGTGCATTGCCTTTTCTTTGAGAAGTTTCTCCAACTGCCGATGAGTTTCTCCTCAATTTGAAAGCTGAGGTAACGAATAGGTGCCATAAATTTTTTTATATTAATTTGAAACTATTATGTTGGGAGTAAATAGTATTTCCTTCTGTAGATCCATCCCTCTTGCTCATCTGTGACTGTGAGTGACGCGTGCAATTAACAATCTTGCATGGGACCTTCTCTGTGTTGCCTGACTTGATGTTCATATGATCATAGCTACTGTAACCGAAGCCAATTTCTGACAGCCTGCAAACCTGTTTCTAGTTGCCTGGAACGTTTTTTTTTACAGCGGAACGCTTTTTTTACGTGAACCACGAATTTTAGAATTCCAGCCTGATACACCACCTTGGCCATTATTGAAGGCAATAAGTGCCCTTTTTAGCCATCCATTATGGTGTATATATTGTTATTGTTAGTAAGCTAATGGCAACATAGCTATATAACCTTCCAAAAGACAAAAAAGCTGAAAAAAATAATAAAATAAATCATGAAAAAATTAAATAAAATCATTGATTATTTATTTTTTAAATTTTTTTAAATAAAAAAATCACCAACCCTGAATGATTGTTTGCAAAGTGCGAACCACAATTTTTTCAATCAAACAAAAATTTATGACTTTTGGGCTGTGAGATTTCATACCTACCTACTGAAATTATATGATATTATAGCAAAAATATTTCAGAAAAAATAGGACTTTTCCAGCCCTGATGTCCATGCCTGTGTTAGCTGTTAGCAAAGAAGTGCAAGCCACAATTTGTTCAATTAAACAAAAATACATGACATTAGACTCAGTGTGGAATTCTGTATAGGTAATATATTCTCATGTCAATATAAGAAAACGTATCAAAATACCAACCCTACCACCGCGTTACACCACCTTCCACTGCAATGAAAATTGACGAACTGAGCTCATTTGAAAATCGCGCGTGGTTTGAAATCCAATCCCGTGTAGCCAGCAACTAATCAAGTTAACTAGTTGTTCATCTGTAGGCTATCGGACACATTTTTGCAATGAATACGTTCTAAAATAAAAAAAAAACATCCAGCTTCGTAAAAAATTCTCACGATTGGACATCACCCACAAAGTTTTCGATTTCACACAAAATTATGAGATAAACTTCAACTCTTTCACTGCATACCGTACATTCACATGGAGTTTTCTTTTTGCTTCTCACAAGACGGTGTCACACACTTATGTTTTGGTTGTGTCTAGTTTGATTTCACAATAAATAGACTTCATTCACATTCCATTCTGAGATTTAAATGATTGAAAGTTTTATTAAATTATAAAAACCTATTTATACTTTCCAGATTTGAATTTTTTACCCTATTATGTTGAATTTATCTTGATAAATTGACTTCAAATTCTGAATGATTTTGTCTGCCATCCCGCGTTTTCGAACGTTTTGTGTCTTTTAGAAAATTTTTGTTGTTTAATATGGGAAACTATTTCATTATAGAAAACATAGAGCACGTACGGTATAGTGCATTAATAATACAATTTAATTCAATAAAAATTAATTTTTAATTTAAAAAATATAATCAGATTTTCAATTCAACATTTTTCTAAAAGAATTTAATTCTACAGCATGTACCATCTAGTGTATTAAATAATAAATTTTGATTTAGTAAAATTGAATTTTATTTAATTTTTAATTTAATTTAATTCTACAGCTTCAACCGGTAAAAATGAGCATCATAGGAATCAAAGTAAAACGGTCGTTCATACATCACAAATTGAATGACATTGGCTGGATTTGATAGGTATTTTATTAATCCTGTTTATATATAAGAACGGAAATGACGCTTCTATTTCAGAATGATAATGGAAATGTTTCTACTATTCCAGAAACTTTTCTTGAATACACTTCCAAAAACTAAAGTTCTGTATTCAATGGAGTCTTTGAAATGACAAAATCATTCAATTTAAAATTTTTAGCTATAAGAGTAAGATCGTTATTTGTCAATATGAGGAGCATTCCTTCGTCATTCCTAAGGAGCTGTAAGAAAAAATTCGTTGTTTTTTATGTAAAAGGATGTTTTTCAATTAATAGAAATGCAATAATTGATTTTTGGAAATACGATGTTAAAATTAACGATCCATATTAGAATTCAAAGTCGTTTTCATTCGTTTGATCAGAAGTTTTCGTTCGTTTGATCAGAAGTTTTCAGTCGTTTGATCAGAAGTTTTCGTTCGTTTGATCAGAAGTTTTCGTTTGTTTGATCAGAAACAGAAAAAGTTTTCGTTTGTTTGATCGGAAACAACATAATTATTCATTCTCTTGCATTAAGTATACAAACAGTTAGTTAATTCGTAATTCGTATACAACCGTATACGAATTAAGTAACGATTGATCATCCCGCTAGATCACCGTTAGCGGGAAAGAAGCAATTCAATTCAGTAGCACGTTAGCTGACGTGTTATGAAGTTCGTCTCGTCTGAACTCTGAATTGCGTGTTTAGTGTGCATGATGAAAAACTCTGCCTAATGATTACTTAATGAAGTTTAGTTCATTGCGCTCAACTTAAGAGACAAATTTTCAACTAACTAATACTTTTTTATAAGTCTAATTTTAATTGTTGAGTGATAGGTGCAGGTTTACAACTTCCAAGTGATTAGGTACTTTATAGAAACTGAGCAAGTTAGCGTGCCGCCGTGCGTGTTTTAAGCCTTTAAGAAGTTCATTTTTTGCCTCAAATAACGATGTCGGATAGAAGAAGTGGTCTTGGTGGATCGAAATAATATATGAACCTCCGAAATTAGAATTCCATCCTGAATTTAGACTAGAGTCTAGACTCTAGACTCTAGAGTAGCTAGCAAGATTTAATGACTACTGAAATTATATGATATTAGAGCTGCAATATTTCAGAAAAAAACTCAGACAGTAGCCTGAGTAGGACTTTTCCTGATAGGCTTACTTGACAAGTTGACAGAGTCTTGCTGTCCTGTGACTCCTGTCCTCTGGAGTCTGGACTCTGGAGAATATGTGGGCCTACGCCGCCTACCTAAATGTTTAACAAGAAATAACAAGTACTAGACAACAACTTGGCATTTACAAGGTTCTTTTATAACATAATATATGTTAGAAAACAAATCATTAGATTAGTCCATCTTTATACTTACTTTCTCTCGCAGATTTGATAAAACATTGAAGAAAGCTGCTCTGTGGTTGTTCCATTTTAATGAAAGAAGGCCACCACAATTCATATCAAGAGCCACGGAGGTTACCGTGTAGTAATCAATTTGGCCAATGTAAGATGTAGTGAAGATAATGGTGATGGTTAAGACACGAATGGGGCGCAAACAGATTTTAAATTTGTTTAAAATTTCAATTTCGTACACATCCTCGCCGAGACGCCAACCTTGCGAATGAACAACTCGCTATATTATGAAAATACGTGCAGGTGCAGGATCCGTACTTTCGGAAGAAGAAATATAAGTTCTTCATTTATTGAAGTAGATGTATACGTAAATATAGAAAGCAATTTACATCATTTTCCGTTTTTCCGTAAATTGAAAAATATTTGAGAACAAATTTGGAGTTCGTGTTGGGGGATGACTCTGATCTACTTCTTCTTCTTCTTCTTTTCAAGGTGTCCACGTTGGGTGGACTGAAAGCCACAGGACAGCCACATGGATGACCGTTGGGCCTGAGAGCTTATGTTATGTTGGACTTCTTGGTAAGGAAAGCTGGCCTCTTTGTCCTTGTTTGTACAAGGTCAATAGAGGTGATGGATGAGCTTGATAGCATGTAAGAGAGAATTTACACATGACATGGATAAGTTACATGCACACGGAACACAGATGACTGTATGCAGTCACTCGGAAAAGTTGCACATGACATGATCATTGCTCCTCAGAACTGAGCACTAGATTCAACAGTTAAGTTAGATATATTTATATACATAGAATGACATAGATTATGCATGTACACAAACATATACAATATACATAGATACACTTGTACATATATAAGCTTCATTTTGATATTTTGGCACCTATCTAAAGTTCACTGAGCCTCCCTGATTTCAAAATGAAAACAGTAAAAAATTGAAAGATTTTCCTTTGCACATCATTATTATTATATATAGCTCCACAAAGTAGGGGAGCTATATTTATAGTGGAGGGCGTAGGGATTTTTTTTGGCTCGAAATTCACGTTCGGCCACCTCTGGCCTGCGGGAATTTTGCGCAACGGTCCCGCCAATCGCGGCAACCACCTTCGCGATAGCGCGGAAGCTGGCAGTGCCAGCCGGGCTGGTCGCTCGCGGTAGGACAGACTGACTGCGGCAGCAGGCCCTTTCCAGGCCGAGAAGCGCTGCCACAATATTGCGCTGCTGTGGACATTCCTGCGCTGTTGGTCACCCTGGCGTTGCGCTGGGGCGAGCGTTGGCGCAGGCAAGTTCACCCGCGGCTGGCTTCCAGACTGCGGCGATTTCTGACTGGGTACCTAATATAAATTACAGAATAAAACTGTACGAAAGATTTCGGTGTAATGTTGTCAACCTCAGCCTGTTACTAGCGTCAACATGTTAGTTGTTACTTGATAAATTGTTACCAGTTACCACTTACAGGTATTTTTTTCATGTTTCAGTTTGCTTAGTTATTTTTACACAGCTATTTTTATGTTTCACCTTCCTACATGGATGTCTATTTTAATCTACCAATCTCATAAATAGTCCACATATATATACAAATAAATGACTGATTTTTTATATGTATATGTGGATAATTTTTTTAGATTGGTAGATTACACTCATTACAGTACACATCCATGTAGGAAAGGTAAAACATAAAAATAACTGTAACTTTTATTTACTGTGTCTAACCCGTACTAGTTCGGCTGGGTTAATTGCAATAAAGTAGCATTGATATGTTTTGAGAATGTTCATTAAATGTTTATGAGTAAATCCCAATATCAGAACAATAAATATTTAGAGATTTCCAATAATGTTTGCCATTGTAGCGGCGCTACATTTTACTGTAGCGGTAGCGCTCGCTAAAATCTAGTGGGTGTAGCGGTAGCGGTAGCGCCCGCTACATTTAGAGCATGTAGCAGTAGCGGTAGCGCCGTTACATTTCAAAGTAGCGCTGCCCAGCTCTGTGAATGAGGGATGTGCAAGTAGGTTTCCTGTGTTCTACAACTTCTCCCTTTACGCACCGCTAGCCTAGTATAGAAATTGTGCATCGCCCTCCCCACGTTCGCCGATGCGCACTGTGAGCAACTGAATATATAAACTACACTAGAAATGATCGCATACGAACAGGGATAGTATCATCATATTTCAAGAACGAGCTACTTTTAAAATTATTCACATTAATTTATATAAAGTTAACATTCAAAAGGTATTTAGTGATAAAAACTTTCACTCTCCTGAACATAGTCTCATATGCGAGGCCAGAGTAAGGATATAAATAACGAACAGCGTTCCCATTGTCGCCTTCAGGAACAACTTTTTAGTGTATTACTTGGAAATAAATTTCTTTATTTGAGTATACTCCAATTATAACGGAAACCTATTTAGCGAAAATGTACTGTACAACAATTTGAATTCACAGTGCATAGCTTGGAAAGTAAAGCAAGTACGACAGTCGCGATTAATCAATTTTGTACAACAAAATTCAAAAGTACGTGCAATGCTCCATAATAAAGACTCACCAAAATTCAGTTCTTTTTTCGATTTCTTGTACTGCACCACACCTTGTGTAGAATAATAAATTTGTTGCTTGCATGGCTTCAAAGTATCTTCTTTGATCTTTTTATGTATTTTCAAAAACCTTCAAAATAACACGTGGAATCTCTATCTTTTTTATGTTGTCATTTTTTATACATAATTCAACAAAGAAGGTTTTACATAGTTTTATTGTTTTGTAATTGAGATTAGATAGAAAAAATTCACTGAAAATTCTTGAATTTTGTGAAGTTTTAATATCAGTCAAAATTGTTGTAATTACCGAATTTAAATTTCAACAGGCGATACTAGTAAAGTGTTTCTAACTTTCACTTATGCCCATTTATGTTGTAATGATCTAGATTGTAATGATTTAATGATTGATATTGTAATGATAATCTAACCTGAATTTTTGTGGCTTATAAGCACTCACCCTAATGGCTGCAGATAATATAGAGGTTTATATAGCGGTTTCAGCGTTTCGTAGGCCGTGGGCCTGTCGCTGATTCTTAACATCGCAGAACATTCACAGCTTGTTGCGGTCTCGAACTCAACTCACTGCTACAATTCTTCTTTGCTAACCGCCCGGCCTCCTCGCCGATTCTGACCAAAAACTGGCGCACAGAGCTGGGATCGAACCCGCGCCTCTCTGCGCCAATCTTGGTACTCAACTGTAACCACTGGGCCACCTCGCATAAGAAAACATGTACAGCATAAGAATAGCATAAGAAGATAAGAAAACACAGCAAATATTATCCCTGTGTATAAGCTTACCTGCCGCTAAAACCACAGACGGCTACTTTTGTCGGCCATTATATCCGTTATTATTATCGGCTTAAACTTACCCCGTGTACTTATTATTATTATCTTAACAAACGAGACCGTTTATATAGTATTCTCAGAACTTACCGCTGTTATTTAATTAAGAAGCCATAATAAAGACTGGTTGTGCTATATTTTCAGTCACAGCCATAATTATTTTGCATACCAGCTACCTTAATTAGTGATCAAAAACCGTCAGGGAAGCCTTAATATTATTTGACGCTTCCAATATTTAATTAACTTAAAGCATATGCAGAATAAACACAAATAAATAAGTGTATGCTAGTAAATTAAATTGAAGATACTTTACTGTACTTATTAGATTAGTAATAATGTAATAATGATACTATAAACCAAACTGAGCTGAAAATTATAGTGAGAAAGAAGGTGCAGACATATTGTAAGCCTGACCTGCGAAAGAAACTTGCTAAATATGTATGGCTGGTTGAGCAGATATAGGCATAGTATGATCCATTTTATTAACAATAGGTAAGGTACTCCAATCAATGGGCTCACTTGGTCAGTGTTGAAGAATGCGAATGAAACTATTATGTGCGAGCTATCACAAATGTGAGCAACGGCCAACGGGATGGAAAAAACAAGATTATTGCGGAAAGTCAGAGGCATTTTATTACACAACCAATAATGTAATTAGTAGATAATAAACCTCCCTAACAACTAGTTGACTGCAATGTAAATTGACGGACGTTAAGAAACTTGTTTTATTGTAATTATAATTATTATTATATTGAATGTAACACGATTAATTCAAGTGGCGTCCACTACTGGCCGTGACGCAAAACATGACATTAAACAAACATTATAATGATCACTGGAATATTTTAACTGCGTAAGAATAACAATACAGTAAATTCAACAGTAAATATATACAATTATGTTTATTTTGAAATTCGTGTGACGTTCTTCTCAATGTGAACTTATCAAAAATACAAGCGAGCTTCGCGAATCTTCCACTGAATTACTAAAACATGCCGAGATCGTGAGTGAAGTTTGCATACCTGATAGAGGTGCCTATAAAATTATTCGCAAAATAACACTGCGTTGATCAACTAAAAATGAACGACAGGCTAAGCCTTAGCTCATTCGCACGTCTCCGACCCTTAGTGCAAAATTAAAATTATGATTGGGTGACATATTCGTACTGTGAAAAATGGTAGAATAAACTTTTGACTATTTAGTTCAATCGATATATTGATTACGTTTAACATGGACATGAACGAAACAAATTATCTACGTTCTACGTTAACTGGTACTTTTATTCGTACGTATCCTATGTTCTTTCTTACATGAATACATTATTAATATTATTGTTATTCTTATGTCTTAATGCAAGCAATAACATTACTAATGATAATCCCACTCTAATTTTCAATGAATGCGAGAAATGAAATAAGTTGATTGTAATATTTTCCCTCTAAAAATTTGAAAAAACGATAGGTTGTCTCAAACGGCTTAAAAAATTTACATCGGGGAAATGTACGGGATACCTTGGAATTGATCTAAACCTAATTTTTGCATCCACATTCACGCATCATATTAATTATATTAGCATCACCCCAGACTGAGGCGGAGGGGCGTAAGAAGAGTCATTAAGGATTTGTCTGGACCCACAGCCAATTAATTAGTGGCCAATAAGTCAGAAGCTCCTGAAACTATATTGTTTCTTTCGCTGCGTCGAGTGACAATGAGGAGGAGAGAAATGTGGAGATCACCCACGCAGGAATCGAAGTTCGTAGCCGGCGAATAAAATCGAAACGATTGCTATGAGCAACGATGATCATCAACATCTGGGACAAACTGTGAATTTGTGAACACCGATTGTGATCTGAGGTGAGAAAAAGTTCTTCATCTGCCCATTAGTTGAGATTACAACTAGCGGACCTGGCAGAGCGCTGTATTTAAGGAACTTATATTCCTAAAATTCCACTCTAGGGTCTATGAGTCAATTTATGCAGTGGATTAACAATTACCACTCTGAGTTATACTCCCACCTTAACTGATGACATGCATTTGCACCTTAGGTGAGGGGATTT